GAGCAAGGAACCTTCAGGATCTCCGGGCCCCTGAGAACCACCTAAGAGTCAGAGAGGCCCAAGTTCAAGTGACCGTCGGTTCTCCGAGCGGCAGAGGGGCCTTGGGAAAGTCAGGTCCCCGCTCCAGGCTTCTCCTCGCCCGTCACATTCGGGAAGGATTCCTGGTTTTAGCAGGTGTTTCAGAACATTCCCTGATAGTCTGCACAGCAGGCCTGCACCCCCACAGCGGGTCTGCACCCCCACAGCAGGCCTGCGCCCCTCTGCCTACCCAGCCCAGGCCGCGGCTGTTTGCACCCTGGCCCTGAGCTCAGCGGGAGTCCGGCCTCCTCCCCAGGCCCTGACTCTGGCCTCTGCCTCCCTTCCCCCGCCCCTCGCCTCAGTTCCGGTACAAGACCCGCGTTTACAAACAGACCAACCTGGACGAGAAGCAGCTGGCCAAGCTGCACACAAAGGTGAGAGGACCCTGCTGGCACCTGCCCCCCCACCCCCATCTCCCTGTGCCCTGCCCGGAGCCCACTCCCCAGCCCCTGCCTCCCCCACCTCTTCCTGACAGCCCTCCACATCCCTCGACCCTTTTGTTCCTCTGCCAGGACAGCCCCCCAGGCCCCCCTCCCTGTATCGTAACTCCTGAACCTCCCCTTGTGCCCCTCATTCCTGTGCCCAGGCCCACACCGCGTCCGCCTGCTTGGACTGTCCTGTCCCATCTCCTGGGTCCCTCATACCCATGCAGGGTCCCTCACCCTCCTCAGCCTGGACTGTGATGCCCAGTGTCCCTCTGCCTGGGGTTGATTCGTAGATTCCCCGAGTCCCCCAATCCCATGGCCTAATCTCTACCAGATCCAAGGATGCCCGTCCCCAGCCACATCTGTCCTCCAGGCCCCTTGCCTTCCTGTGCTCGGACCATGTGTCTCTGCTGGTCCCGAAAAGCTGGGAGGAAGCCAGGGGGCTGCTTTGGTCCACAGTGAAGTGAAGCCCGGCCAGTGTGGCTCAGTGGTTGAGCATTGACCTATGAACCAGGAGGTCACAGTTAGATTCCTGGTCAGGGCACCACATGCCCAGGTTGCATGCTCGATCCCCAGTAGGGGACGTGCAGGAGGCAGTCCATCAATGATTCTCTCTTATCATTGATGTTTCTCTCTCTCCCTCCCTCTCCCTTCCTCTCTGAAATCAATAAAAAAAAATATTTTTAAAAAACAGTGAAGTGGCCCTAACCAGTTTGGCTCAGTGGATAGAGCGTCGGTCTGTGGACTCAAGGGTCCCAGGTTCGATTCCGGTCAAGGGCATGTACCTTGGTTGCAGGCACATACCCAGTAGGAAGTGTGCAGGAGGCAGCTGATCGATGTTTCTAATTCTCTATCCCTCTCCTTTCCTCTCTGTAAAAAAATCAATAAAACATATTAAAAACAAAAAACAGTGAAGTGAAGGATCATTGTCATTTGGGGATTCCTCCTCATCTCCCGCCAGCATGCATTCGGCCTAGTCCTCCCCCCAATATCCATCCCTCCACACCTGTGCTGTCCACTGCGGGAGCCACCGGCCACACACAGCTCCCCGGCACGTGCAAGTGTGGTGGGTCCCCAAGCTTAGCCAGGCTCTGAGAGTGAAATGCATGCCCGACTTCAAAGAAACGTGGATGAGAGAGAAACATTGGTCAGCTGCCTCCTGCACGCCCCCTGCTGGGGATCGAGCTCAAAACCTGGGCACGTGCCCTGACCTGAACCTGTGACCTCTTGGTGCAAGGGATGACCCTCAACCAACTAAGCCACACCAGCCAGGGCATTTTTTAAAATTAAAAAGTTTTATTTATTTATTGGTTGATTTAAGAGGTGGGGGGTGGGGAGAGAAACATCAATTTGTTGTTCCACTTACTGATGCATTCATTGGTTGATTCTTGTATGTGCCTTGTCCGGGGATCAAGCCCACAACCTTGGTGTATCAGGATGATGTTCTAACCTACTGAGCTATCCAGCCATGCTGTTCCCTGTCTTTCCTTTTCTTTTCTTTTCTCTTCTTTTCTTTATCCTCACCCAAGGATATATTTTCCCATTGATTCCTAGAGAGAGTGGAAAGGAGGGAGGAGGGGGAGAGAGAGAGAGAGAGAGAGAGAGAGAGAGAAACATTGATGTGAGAGAGACACATCGATTGGTTGTCTCCCGCACATGCTCGCACCGGGGCTGGGGAACCTGCAGCCAAAGTATGTGCCCTTCACTGGGAATCGAACCTGAGACCCTTCGGTCCAAGGGCCGATGCTCCAACCATTGAGCCAAACCAGCTAGGGCCCCCTTTCTTTTTTATTTATTTATTTTCAATGTATTTTTATTGATTTTTAGAGAGGAAGGGAGAGGGAGAGAGAGATAGAAACATGGATGATGAGAGAGAATCATTGATCAGCTGCCTCCTGCATGCTCCCTGCTGGGGATCAAGCCCGCAACCCGGGCATGTGCCCTGACCGGGAATCGAACCGTGACCTCCTGGCTCATAGGTCGATGCTCAACCACTGAGCCATGCCGGCCGGGGCCCCCTTTCTTTTTTTAAAAAAGTGGCTACTAAGGACTCTCAATGCCTTGTGTGGCTCACTGTGTACTTCACTGGAGATCCCAGCTTTACCCCTGGCTCCCTCGCGGGCCTGTCCTCTCTCTTGTCCACGACCCAGACCGGACTGAAGAAGTTTCTGGAGTACGTGCAGCTCGGAACGTCGGACAAGGTGGCACGGCTGCTGGACAAGGGGCTGGACCCCAATTACCACGACTCGGATTCAGGAGGTAGGGACGGGGTCAGGGGTTTGGTGGGGGACACCCAGCACCAGGCCTGGGGGCTGCATGTGACTGGCTGTCTCACCCTCAGAGACCCCCCTGACGCTGGCTGCCCAGACGGAAGGCTCCGTAGACGTGATTCGAACTCTGTGCCTGGGCGGGGCCCACATCGACTTCCGAGCCCGGGATGGCATGACAGCCCTGCACAAGGCCGCGTGCGCCCGGCACTGCCTGGCTCTCACGGTGAGGTGCCAGCCCCCCGGGACCCTCCCGCAGATCCGAGACACCCCCAAATTGCCGTGTTTCCCACACAGACTGTCCCCGGCAAATTACTCCAGACCAGCGATGGCGAACCTTTTGAGCTCGGCGTGTCAGCATTTTGAAAAACCCTAACTTAACTCTGGTGCCGTGTCACATATAGAAATTTTTTGATCTTTGCAACCATAGTAAAACAAAGACTTATATTTTTGAGATTTATTTTCTATATTTAAATGCCATTTAACAAAGAAAAATCAACCAAAAGAATGAGTTCGCTTGTCATAGGTTCGCCATCACTGCCCCAGAACCTCCCTCCCCCTCCCCCTCCATTGTCACGCCTCCCACTGGTCTGAGATCCCCGCTCAGGCCCCAGGGGCAGCCACCTCCCAGCTCAGGACCAGCTACAGCTGGCCGTCACACGGGCCTTCCCCTGGGCCCAGGTAGGTGACATGACTCTCCAGACACCCAGATACTCGGTGTCCCCCATCCCCTCTGACCCAGCAGCACCCGGCCACTGTGTCCCTGAGGGGTAGGCCCCCCTCGTGTCCCTTGAGATGCACAGGGAGCTCCCTGCTTTGCCCCCAGGTAGAGACGCTCTTCCACACACACACCTGCAAACACAGCCCCCTCTACCCTTCCCAACCCAGCGTTCACTCCCCAAGCGCACGCCCCCTTCTCTCGCCTGCCAGTGCGGCCCCTCCGCCCGAATAGAGGAGCCGCATCTACCCACAAAGGACATCCACGGAGTCAGCTTGCACAGTCTTATTTTAAAATGCTCTTCCCTTTTTCTTACATATATCGATAGGAGAGAGACATCGACGTGTTGTCCCAATCGTTTCTGCATTCATTGGTTGATTCTTCTGTGTGGCTGACCGGGGGTGGAGCCCAAAACCTTGGGGTATTAGGATGATGCTCTATCCAACTGAGCTACCCGGCCAGGGCTGCTATTCCCTTCCTCCCACCCCCTCCCGAGGGTGCTTGAGCCCTCTTCACACAGAGGCCAGGGTAGATCACCCCCAAATATACGTAGCTGTGGGTAAACGCCCAGATCCACAGGTAGCCCAGCTTAACGGGCCCCCCTCCACCTCCCTTTCTCCAACCCTTTCTTAAAGAACCCCAAACGTGCCCTCGCTGGTTTGACTCAGTGGATAGAGCGTCGGCCTGCAGACTGAAGGGTCCTGGGTTCGATTATGGTCAAGGGCACATGCCCGGGTTGCGGGCTTTGATCCCCAGTGGGGGGGTGGGGAAGACATGCAGGAGGCAACTGATCAATGATTCTCTCTCATCATTGATGTTGCTATCTCTCTGTCCCTCTCCCTTCCTCTCTGAAATCAATAAAAATATATTTAAAAAGAAAAAGAACCCCAAACGTAGTCAAACTCCCGCCAACAAGCCTCTTATACCCTGAAACCCACAGACCCTCGTATGTCCCCCAATGCCCCGCCCTCCCCCACATCCAGACCTGACCTGTCCGGTCTAGTAGCCACTAGCCACCTGGGCTGTTTACATCTAAATGGACTAAAGTGAACGAAAATCAAAACTTAGGCTTCTGGCACCCGGCCGGTGTGGCTCAGTGGTTGAGCATTGACCTCTAAACCGGGAGGTCACGGTTTGATTCCCGGTCAGGGCACATGCCCGGGTTGCGGGCTTTGATCCCCAGTGGGGGGGTGGGGAAGACATGCAGGAGGCAACCGATCAATGATTCTCTCTCATCATTGATGTTGCTATCTCTCTGTCCCTCTCCCTTCCTCTCTGAAATCAATAAAAATAT